TTTTTGGCCAGAGTTTCCATCATACCTGCCGCAACATAAAGTCTGTTACCGTCTGAAATGTTGTGATTTTGGCGTCGGGAGATATGGTCACTGTACTTTTCGATCTTTCCCAAGCGTCAGATTGATGAGAATGTTTGAAACCTGTTTTTCAGATGACAAGTCTGGCCAGAGCCAAGGTTTCTTTCACTCACAATAACAACCTCCAACATGACACAACCCCTTGCTCCCAAGGTTCCTGTCACTTCTCCTCCATCAATTTGTTCTTCCTTACTGGCCAGAATTAAGTCTGGAATAGCAGTTTCCTTCTTACATCCTTTTCTTTTTGAGAGACGGAAATGTCAGCTCAGTGAGTCAGGGAGCTCAATTGGGACAGACCCAAGGGATGTATTTGTGGTAATTCATATGCCTGGAAGTAAGGAGTTTGATGTGTGCTTTCAGATCAGCAGAGAAATTGGATTTATTTTGGACACTGTATCAGGAGGAAAAGGACCAGAGCTGTGGGAGAAATGGAGTGATTGAATAGATTAGAACAAGGCTAAAGGCTGCGCACTTTCCTTTCAAGAAATGAAACAGTGGTTCTTGGAGACACTGTGTCTGCATTAGGAAGATGCTGCGGAGTGTTGACAGACCTCAGACAAGATGCAGGCCACTTGGTGCTGGGATGGCAAATGTCAGCGGAGACAGAGCAGGTCTATTCTACTGCCAGCTATTCACCTGGTGATTCCCACTGTGAGCCCAGTAGGAGCTTATGGCAGACGAAGAGGGCTGGATACTAGCAGGCAGGTGACAGGTGTGTGGAGGGAAGTGTCTGTACAACCAGGGAAGTCAGGATAGCAGGGTCATTTTTAGGCTGCAGCAGTTCTGCGTTAGAGCTCCCACTTTTCATTCTCAGCTCTGATCAGGGATAAGTTATGTCACCCCTGTGCATGTTGGCAATCACCTTTCTGTAGGCATTAAGGACTTGGTTTTAGTGTATGCAAAGCACTGCATACAATAACACCAAGTAAGATCTCAGAAAGAGAGAGAGAAAACAGGGAAAAGAAGAGACCCTTCTAAGCCCTAAGAGAAGTAGAAAAGAGGAGCTGGGAGGGGAAATCAGGCTCCTGGTGCACACAAAGAAGAGTTCGTCTGGAAGTTTGTACTGAACTATGGTGTGTCTGGATCCTAGAATATGCACTTGTTTAACTTGACCAGGTGAAGCCAATGCAGTGATCATACTGACTTATATTCTTATCCACCAGGCATAAGGCCTTTTGTGACTCCACATTTTCTCTCACCCTCATTTGTATCATATATGCAAATAATATCATTAGCATAGTGGGTGCAATGCAGATATTATAGATATTCAATTTAGGCTTATGTAATAATGTGCAGAGATGTGTTTCTCCAATCATTGTACAATGTTCTTTTTTTAAAGACAATTTGAGGAATTTCCTAGGGTAATATTTCCCATATTCAATTTTCTATTTTTCTCCTGACATCAGAGTATACCTCTCAAATAAAAATGCAGCTCCTCTGTTTTGGAGAAATTAAGTTTTTAGTAGTTCACAGGAGGAGTTCTGAATGAGAAGATACCAAGAATTTAGCAGACATTTGCTACTTCTTCATTTTGATGTGTAATCTGTGTGGCCCGAATGGGCTGAATGTTTAAGGCGGAAGAGGTTTTCTCAGTGAGGATGGCTCAGCCCATCCTGGTAAGTTCTGCAACCCAGAAGCTGTCCTTGCTGGATGAGACAAGGACCAACACCTGGGCTGGATGATGGCGACGGAGTGCCTTATAGAGGTGGTAGGTGACAGGAATCACACACTGATTGAGACTCGGGGGCGGGGGAGGGGGTGTGGTCCTGCTCGAGCATTTGCCATTTGTGTTCTATAATGGAATTACATGGCAATGTAGAGTGCACATAAGTATAGGTGTGTTTTTATTTGGTCAGTGTTGAATCAGAGGAGAATGACAAGCATGGAGAGAATAAACACATTTATTAAACTAAACCAGTCTGGACTAATGACGCAGCAGCCTCTGTATACTTACATGCTAAAATATATATCTTAAACTTGTTTTGTCTTTTACCAGCAGAAACTTTAAAGTAAACAACGTATTATATATGACGTTCTATTCGTTATTTGGTTATGGCAATAAGATACCAGAGGCAGGCTAACTTTGTAAACAAAGGAGGTTTACTCAGTTCATAGTTTTCAAGGCTGAAGATGTAAACAGCACAAGCTCAGGCCAGGTCCCCTCTGCCCCCTATCACCTGGTAGCAAATGGCAAAGACAAGAGCAGCTCTGTGAGGAGCCGGCCACATCATCAGGAAGCCAGAGAGATACTGGACCCCAGAATCCCTTCCTAGGACAGCTCCTCTATTTGACCTAAGGACCTCGCCCTTCAAAGGTCCCAGCACCTCCCAATACTGCCACCCGGAGACCAAGCGACGAACACATAGACTTTTAGGGAGACAAATTTAAACCAAACCATTGCCGAAACTATGCTATATGTAAGTTCACGTATTCCATTACTGGGGGAAAAAAGTTAACATATTTGCCATTTACTTATTGTAAAGTCACTAGATAGGAAAAGGTTTTTTAGGAGTAGGTTCACAGAAAAATGGAATAGAAACTACAGATAATTCCTATATAGCCCTTGTGTACCCTCCCTGACAAGTCCTTCTCCCAATATTTCTCGGTGTCACACCAGAGTGATAAATGCGTAACAAGTGACACATTATCACCCAAACTCATAGCTTTCATTAGGTTCACATAGGATGATGCCCACCCTGTGGCTTTGACAAATATGTCAGAATGGTTTGGGTCTGCATACAGAACACAGAATACTTCCTTACCCTAAAAGTCCTCTCTGCTCTGAGTACTCTCCCCTTTCCTTCTGATTCTTGTGCTTGGTATTTTTTAAAAAGTTACAGAGACGTAGGCAGTGAAGAGAAGAAAGTTGTTTCATCAGCGGTAAAAACTACCAATGTGTACTTCCCAAAACTTTTATTAAAGAAATTTATAAAGCAGACCCCTTTGTATAGCTACCTAAAGATAATAAACAAAAGAAATATAAACAACAAAAAAGAAAATCTATGCTAAAAGAAGAGAAATTTATAAAGCAGAGGCTGGAGGTGTGGTTCAAGAATGCCTGCCTAGCAAGTATGAGGCCCTGAGTTCAAACTCTCAGTAACCACCCCCTTCCCCCCACCAACACATACCACACACCAGCAACACACAAATAAAAAAAAAACAAGTTATCACAGACTGGGAAAATATTCATAACACACATATCTGACAAAAGACTTGTATTACAATATAAAAAGAGAATCTTAATACCTCAGAAGTAAAAAAAAAAAAAAAAAAAAGGACAAATATCCCTTTGATAATGGGCAACAAACCTGAAGGGACACTTGGCAAAACAAGGTATACAAATGGCCACTCGGCACGGGAAAACGTACTTGATAAACAAACCCCCCAACTCCAAATGATAGGCATCTTCGTATCTGGGAGGAGGGATGACATAAACAAGACCTGCAGCCTCACATGGGGGTGGGCAGGGCTTGGACCAACTTGAACTCTGGTGCTCTGTTGATGAGAGTTGTCCAATGTGTATGGAAAGTTATTTGGGGGCTTCTTATAAGTTTAAAACTTACCTCCCCTATGAGCCAGCAATGCCATCTTTAAATATCCAAGAGAAATGAAAACATACATCTGCAAAAAAGACTTGCTTAGGAAAATGAATATTAGCTTTATTTATAATATCCCCATACTGGACATGCCTCATATACCCGTATATAAATGAATGGACAAATGATGTGCTGTATAGTCTTGCCATAGAATACTACTCAGCAATAAAGAAAGGAAGACTACAGCCTCGTACCAGTGGCTCACGTCTATAATCCTAGCTACTCAGGAGGTGGAGATCTGAGGATCACTGTTTAAAGCTAGCCTGGGCAGGAAACATCTCTGAGACTCTTATCTCTGATTATTCACTAAAAAGCCTGGAAGTGGGGCTGTGGCTCAAATGGTAGAATGCTAGCTTTGAGCACAAAAGCTCAGGGACAGCATCCAGTCCGAGTTCACACCCCAGACAGGCATTTATTTAAAAAAAAAACAAAAACACCAATAAAGGAAGATTATGGATCTATAAAGTGGCACAGATAGATCCAGAAAACATATTGAGTAGAATAAGACATCCCAATAGAGTCTATACTATGAGAGTCCATCTCCATGAAGTTCAATACCAGAGAACAATTAACCTACGGTAATTGAAATCAGGCACAAAGGGATGGGTACAGTCTGTAATAGGACATGAGGGAACTTTCAGGAGTGATGGAAATATTCTACACTTAATTTGGATGTTTACACAGGTGTGTATATATTTGTCAAAACCCATCATTATCCAGTAACAGCCTTTATGTTTCGTTGTAAGCAAAGTCCTACCTCAATGAAAATGACCCAGAGTATCAACTAAGGACTATCCATAAATGATCACAAGCACTTCAGTTGTCTTCATCGTTTATTCTATGAAGACCACAGAGAGCGAGAGGGTGCTTGGGCCATGGACCCGAGCCTTGCCTGGCTTGGGATGAGTCCTGGCTCACAAGTACAGAGGTAGTGTGCTTTTACGATCCACCTCATATTGGGACATCATGGAGGTCTAAGTCAAAACCTATATATAACAGAAAAATTATTCTAATGCAAAATACCATTTTTAACCAGTGACACATGTACCAGAAGTTTTGATATTAGTCACAGATGGCCCAAATTACTGAGTTCTAAACAATGACGCCATATCCCGGTGTCATGGGTTTGCTTAGTGATGATGGTGGTCTTCTTTGTGCTACATTTTATGATATGGCACATTCCCATGCTTGTACCATTGTGCATTGTGCTTTGAGAACTATTAATGTATGTTTGTAATAAGAATCAAATGTTTGCAAAGCCCCTGAAGTACCTCCCACGATGAAAACCACTGGTCTAACTACAGTAACTGTGTTGGAGGCCCGGGAGGCTGCCTTCTGTTTATGCTAAATAGCTTTGTTAATGGCTGGTCTTAAGTGTTAACAGTTTAGTGGTAATGGGTAAACTGGCAGTCTGGGAGACTAAATGACTCCTGTTAAAAAATTGATAATGGCTTCCTGGGCAGAAGCGAAGGACAGATAAGTACAGAGAAGCCATAAGCTGTCCAGTGAATCTACGGCTGTTGGCATGTGTCACCATCACTATTTGAACCCCATTGGGGCTGAGCATTTTGGTAAGCCACTCACATTTTCTGGGCCTCAGTTTCCTCATATTCCCTGACTAAGTCATTGGGCTAAGCACGGCACTTCTCAGAATGTTAACGTGCACACAAGTCATGAGGAAGTCTTGTTACAATATAGGCTGTGGTCTGGTGGTGGGGGTGGGGGTGGGAAGGAGTAGGGGTGGGGAGGGCTAGCGTTCTGCATTTCTAATAAACTCAGGGATGATGCCACTACTGCAGTGGGAGAATCCCAGGTAGAAGAGCCAGAGGCCTGGGTTTCAATCCACTGACTTCTTAGTGGGCTTATCAATGAAACGTCAGTTAGTATTGAGTGAACAGCAGATGGGAATAGAAAAGAAATGCAGATCTTTCTGGACTATGCCACTCAATATGGTGGTTCCTGGTCTCACCACAACATTCAGGTCTATACGACCCTATTTCTAGCACTTAATAGCCATCTCTGGTGAATATTGGCTGGTGTGTTATAGTGGAGCAGAATCAACATTCCCTTAATCACAGAAAATTCTATAATATACCATGGGGAAGAGTTCTCAACTCAGGTACAGTCTGGAACCTGGGAGCTGGATGGTCTTTCAGAGCAAGGAATCTCTCACACAAGTCTACTGTTATGCTAGGTGAAGCTGGACACTGCATTTATTGCTGAGACTTAGAAAGGCCCATCTCGATTGAATTAGAGTCATTCTAACTGTTCCCAATCTGCTCTGCTGAGCACCTGTTGTTGGGTCTCTGACTTCATGCACCCTATCTCTCTATTCCATCCGTTGGATACCTAGCATGTGTCGTTTACACTGGAGTTTGCCAGGCTGGGGAGTCTCCAGGAAGATTGGAGCTCGGAGGAACCCTACTCTGTTGCTTTCTAAGTCACATTCTGTGCAGGCTGTGGCACCCTGGCTTCGAGCATCTTCGGCGGCTTCAATCAGATCAATCAGACCACCATGTACGTTCTCTGTTTAGATATTGGTTTCTTTGACAACACGTTTCTGGGAAGAATTGATTGGACTTTCACAGAAAATTTCAAATCCACCCATTCAAACCCATTCCATTCCAAATTAATGAAATGGAAGCATAGGGAGTCTAAAGGTCTGACCTTCCAAGGTCATACCACCCATTAATTGGCTGTCTGAAGTTAGAAGTGGAGACTCCTGACCCAGGCAGCAGTTCCTCTGCCAGGTCACTTTGTGAACTCTGTGTCTGGTGACTCTAGCTGCCACTGGCTTGTAGAGAGGAACACAAAGCCTGAGGAATTTCTAGAAGACCTGCTGGTCCAGAGCTTGGGGCACTCCCAAGAAGCCAGGTTGTGAAGGGAATCTCAGATTGTAACAGCTTTTTGGGAACTGAGAACATGAGGGGACCTCCAAGGAAGGATGTGTGCTGCCTTAAGACATCCAGGTGTATAAATTGGAGCTGACAGTCTCTCTCCAACCAGCTTTCTGGATGCCCAGGGCTTGCCAATTCCAAGGACCAGGAAAGAACCACCAGAAGATAGTTTGATTTTTCCTCATCCTAGACCTGACCCCCATGTCTCAAGCTGGACTGGAATAGGGCTCATTTCTAGCCTCCGACTAGAGCTAAGTGCTTTTCTATTGTTGGCCTCATTAACTATACAATGATGATTGCTGACTCCCTAGCCGGCTGTCTTTCTGCTTTTTGTTTTTATAGTAGATCTTTCTTGAGGTTCTATCTGTCCCTCTGGTAACACTTCATCTCTATATTCACACATGCTAACCATATGCCAAGGCACAGAAGTTTCTGAGTTTCTTGTGAGTGGCCCAGATGAGGGATTGGATCCAGTTAGGCCACTGGCTCTAAGTGGGGATGGTTTGAGAAGGCTGGAGAAATAAACTTTGACAGTTGAGCGTTGCTGTTAAATTGTGTTCTGCCCCAGAGACTTGGGGCTGCATATTCCAGATATACAACAATTCTTCATAAAAGGGTTTACCAGACCTGTACAATTTAGGTAAATTTGAAATTGATTCCAAATTTAGAAGCTTCTTTGCTTATTTCAAATATAAAGATTATCTATTGGCATATGCATAATGCACAGACTTCCAGGAAACCATGAGGGTATTGATACAAAGGGGTTGACACATCCCAGAGGCTTTCTCTGATATCTGTATGACTGGGAGTTCTACACCCTCCCCCATACATAAACACACAGTTGGATTTGAAGGCAGTCAAGTGGCTCATCCCAATGGTTTGGCCATCCCTGGGATGGTTTGGGAATGACAAAAAGCGATGTAGATAGAGATCAGGTCGACAGTGTCCACCCTTCTCTCTGGCTGGCTTGCTTGTCCCTTTCTGGAAGATTTGTGACAGTTAGTATTGGCTGGAACACTCAAGATGCATTTAACTTCTTTTTCCTTTGTTTCTGTCCCCTACACTCCAGAAAGCCAAGGAACCTCAATTTCTAACATTATGGTGGTCATTTGAAATCTTTATGGACAATTGGATGTTGTCAGATTCTGGGGAATAGTTTTGTTCCTGAATAACAACAACAACAATAAGAACAACAAGAAAAACAACAGCAACAAGTAAGACTGCAGAAAAGGAACATTTGTCTTTATTTTTAAAAACTGATCTCCCTACTGCCTGCTTGCAATATAGAAACAGTAGCCTTTTTGCAACCATGAGATTGAGAATGAAAGGTCCACATTAAAGCTGGCAGAACAAAGACAGAAGGAGCCTGCTTCCCTAGTAACAGTTCTGAACAACTGTGCGTCCTTTGAATTGCTACCCTGGCATCTTATCATAAGGCAAACCAAATCTACCTCTTGAAGTTACTGACAGTTGGATTTGGACTTGCTCTCAAGTACATTGGTCGCTGGTACAGGAAGAATGAGGAATGGTTTTTACCCCACTTACCCGCAGTGCACTTCTGGGGTGAGAAGTCATGTGATTACCAGTGAGGACCCCAGATTTGAAGCCAGAATTGCAGTGTAACAGATTTTTGAAACAGCTTTTGCTGAAAAGCTGACTTCTTGCATGGTTTTTCGAATATCTAAAGGGTAATTGAAAACAGGGCAAACACTTGGCATTCCTGCCTCCATTTTGTTATCTGTGTCATTTGCTTTGAGCTGGTTTCTCTTGTGATTTCTTTGTAGAGTCTCTAGAAGTGAGGTAAGATAGTCTTGGTGAATAAAAATCCTGTGACAGAAGTGGAACCTACCCTCTGCCTGGCAGGAATGACTTTCTTATTGTAACAAGGTACCACCCAACCAATCCTGCTGATCATAGCCTATGATCACAACCACACACTGACTGGGGCTGGTTAATAATTGTGGAACCTCTCTCCTTTGCCTCTTCTTCCTCTATTTTAACCTGAAGCTTATGTTTATACCTAGAAGATAGGCTGAAGTGCTTGCTTTGTCTCTTCTCATGGTGAGCCTGTGTGTGGTAAATTTCCTTTCTTTGCCCTTCATGACTATTTGGAGCATTGGGGTAACATGTGGAACTTCTTGAGTTTGGGCCACTGGCCTAAAACTCCAGCTACATTAGGTCCTGTCTTGAATTTGCCATAGAGTGGGACTCCACTGGGAAATTAGAACCATGAATCCCATAGGTCTTTTTGGGTAATCTTTTATGTCCATATCTTCTTTGGTCAAACAATGGTATCCAACCATTTCTGACTTTTTCTTTTTAGGACTACATAAAGGTCTCCCAGCTACTGGTAGGATAAACTTCAATATGTTTTCTCCTGCTACCACCAAAGCCCTTCCATCGATGACATTCTGCCAGTTTTCAACAGAGAGTGAGATTATCAACCAGGAGAAATAACAGCCCCTTGCTGTTCTAATTCATTGAGTGTTGGAGTAGTTGGTTATGCAGCAATGGGCAATTCATGCAAGGACTTGTTTCCCATTTCAGATGCCTAGTCCCCCAGATGCCTGGGAAGGCAGTGGAGTTCCCCTTTGCAAGGTGCAACTTACCTGGGAGCCCCAAAGTGAACTTCCTACATCTGAGCTGGAACGCAGCAGGTGTTTGCTAGCTCTCCTTAGAGTCCCCTGGTCCTGCTCACACAGCGGCCTACTCCCCATGGATTTGAGAGGATGTGGCCAGAACAGCTGGTGAGAACAGCTGCAAGATGGAAAGACTTTGAGTGGGTCATTGTTTAGATGTCATGAGTAGAGGGGAGGCAGATGGGCACTGGGTGGCCCTTTCCTTAGGGACCACTCTCAGCACACAGGTGTTCTCCACTTCCTTGAGCTAACCACATGGTTTTCTATCTTTATCTTCACCCAGAACACCTCACCTCTCTTATCTGCTGTGTCATTTTAAAGACACATTCACAAGCTCTGCAAGGCTGTTTAAACAGGTCTGGGTAGAGCAGTTCAAGCTCATTCTGCCCCCACACTGCCCCCCCTCCTCAGAACATTTTTACCTGTTACTTTAGCCTGACCAATTTTGGAGGTGTTTCTCTAGTAGGATTTGATGGAACTGAATGTAACAGGAAGTTCTACAATGACAGCATTGTAAACAAGCTAGGCATCTTCTTCTTCTACACAAGGAAGCTGGAGTCTATGAATATAAGACTTGGGGATGTCCCATGAATAATATTGGTTCTGTGCTCTACTATGTGGAAGCTTCATTTGGAAGGTAATCTCAAAGTCAAAGGTGGATGCTAAAGATCCACATTTCATATCCATATCCCAGCTTGTTGGATAAAGGAAGGTTAGAAAGCGCACAGCCCTTCCTTTAAAACACATTCTTCAGAGGTTGTATATTTTATGTCTGCCTTTGGCCAGAACTTCAGGTAAAGC